CCCCCCCCCCGCCCCACAAGTGAACAAGCGGGCAAGGCCTCCTCATCGCTGTGGCAGAGGAGAGCTCAAAGCAGGAGGCCCACACTCAGCACACGCGCATGTGCTCAGGTAAACAGCTGGTCTCTAAGAAAGAAAAACATCACACTGGGCGCCTGTGGCTCACGCCTGTAATCCTACCTACTTAAGAGGCTGAGATCTGAGGATCATGATTCAAAGCCGGCCCGGGCAGGAAAGTCCTTGAGACTCTTTATCTCCAATAAACCATTAGAAAACTGGAAGTGGCGCTGTGGCTCAAGCGGTAGAGCACTAGCCTTGAGCTGAAGAGCACAGGGACAGCACCCAGGCCCAGAGTTCAAGCCCCACCACCGACCAAAAAAAAAAAGAAAAGCATCACAGCCTGAGTAGCTGGGCCTGTGGTAGGTACTGCAGAGCCCACCGCTGCGGTGGGAGGGGTGGGAGATGGCGGCCGCTCAGGAGGCTGAGGAACACCCTGCAAGCCATCAGGGCAGGAAAGGCAGAAGGAAGCCAGGAGAAAGCAGTGGGCAGAGGAGGAGCATGGCAGGCTGCCTCCGCGGGGCCTCCTGAGAGCTGCAGGCTTTGAAATCCCAATATGCTCCAAAATCTGCACATTTTCCAACCCGACCCTCACCCGTGGGAATCCACACTGGACCTCAGGTGACAGGTGGCAGTCAGAATGAAGGGACATGGAGCACAGAATTGCCCCAAACCACCCTGGGCTGTGTGGACACAAAGCACCAATGGGTTTCCTCGTTAGGCTTGGGTTCCCCCCCCAAGACATCTCATTACGCATATGCAGATGCTCCCAGATGAGGAAAACCTGAAACTTCCGACGCCACCCATGCGCAGTCTGTAGGTCAAGTCCACAGCGCTTGCCTTTAGCTGTGTTGGCAGCCTTAGCTCCTGTGAGTGACGCTGGACATTTCTCCATTTTCAGGTGTTCCAAATAGCCGTGGGCTGTGACGCTCATAAATACATCGCAGTTCGTGGGCAAGTATACTTCCACATGACCTGTTCTCCTTTAAGATTTAAGATGCACAGTGTGGTTAGCAGTAATCACTGGGGTACCATTAGCCTACTGACTTGACAACACCCAGCGTGAAATCCAAAATTGAACGGGCAGGGGTATACGGTTTCCATTCATTTGAACTTGTTCTCAAGTCAAATATTCCATGTGAATTCCCTTTGTAAGAGCCTGTCTCAGCCTCTGCTGATACTTCTCTGGGCTCTGCAGTGCCGTTTCCCAGAGACAACATAGAAAGAGAAGCGTTATCTCTGCTTTGCACCGCAGTTAGAATTCCATTTCCCCAGGGCAGCCTCCACAGCCAGGGACGCTGGACTTCTGTACCAGCTCCTGGTGTGAGCAGCACACAGAGGCCGGCGCATGCCCAGTGCATGCCCAGCGCACGCCCAGCGCACGCGGACGCAGCCAGCCTCGTGTTAGCATTCCTGACATGATTTTGATGGCAGAGCAGCGCTGCATGGTGTGGAATTCCACATTTGGGGATCCGCCGGTTTGCAGCTCTTGGCCCATTTTCATCTTTCGTACTGTGATGAGTACTTGGATCCAAGTTTTGTCTGAACACCTGTTTTAATTATTTGAGGTATGCTGGAACCACTGGGCCCGATGAAGTCCCGTGTTTAACTCCCAGAGAAACTACCACGCTGTCCGTCCCAGCGAGGCCACCCATGCCGCCCTGTGAGCGTCCAGGCCCTGCACCCCCAAGGCTGCTGGCTTTCTAGTTGGGGGTTTTGGTTTGTTTTTCAATTAGAGAAAATTCTATGTGTTTTGTCACCTGTGATGACGCGCTGTTTTGGCATCATTGTGGAGCGGCCACGTCGGGGCACCGCCTCACGTCGAGGTCCTGGGGTGAGAACGCGAGCTGCTCCTGCGCATGGCAAGCAGCGCGCAGACGGCTGCAGCAGTCACTGCGCTCACTGACCGCGACACCCCGTCTCGAGGAACGGTTGGGCCTTTTGACCAACCTGTCCCAACCGCCTCTCATTTTCCATAATTTGTCAATAAACATTTACAAGGTAGAATTAGTGAACCGATAGGTTTCAAATTCCATTGTCTTCAGATAACATTTAACGCAAAAAGAAAAAGAAAGTGCTGGCAGCATGACTCAAGTGGTAGAGCACCTGCCTAGCAGGTACAGGGCCCTAAGTTCAAACCCCAGAAAAAGAGAGGGGAAAAAAGGAGGAGGAGGACTAATAATACAAACCAACGCAGAGCGCGCTTCAGTGAGCACGCCGCGGCCGGCGCCGGTCAGAGCGCTGAGCGCAGCCTCACAGGCGCTGACTTCCCGCCTCTCTGTGTTCCATTTTGCAGGTTCAATAAAACTGGGTGTCAACACCGTGATTTTTCTTACATGATTGACAAGTAAGAAATGTTTTCGAATACGAGAATTGCATTTGGTGTCTATGTACTACTAGTCATTTGTAAGCACTGAGTTCCTGTCGGCATCTGTGGGTCTGGCGTGATGCTTTAGTCAGTCACATCACACGTGTAGACGTGGAAATGAACCTCCTCTGAAGCACACTCGACCACGCCCCACCCCTGGGTCTGCATGTGATTGGCGTAGGCAGAGCACGCCTCAGGCTCCGAGCTATGCTAGTCCTTCTGGGTTAAGGAAACACACACACACACACACACACGAGGATTTTCTTCCTACATCTTCTCTCCCTAAGCCTACGTGACTGTAAGAGTCAAGCTCATCACAATTTGTAGAATTCCTTTGACTTCGTGAGAAAGATTTCATGACAGTAAGACATCTCTGGAGGTAACTGAGCTGTAAAAGACACATCTGTTGATACTGATTCTGAAGTGCTTTTTTTCTTTCATCTTTTACTATTCTGGGACAAATCACATGAAAACAACAATGAACATGGGCCTCATAATCATGCATGTGACTGAGCAGGAAGGAGAGCAAGGTTGTGGACTTGAACACCTGCACACCTTATCTGAGAATGGTGTGGCATGCACAGGTGGAAAACAGTGTCACGCACACCACACACACACACACACACCGTGGAGGTGGTTGTGATTATGTTCATGGATCTGGAAATATGTGTGTAACATGCTCAATAGTTTTTAACCATGTTTAGCTACTTTTGTGAAACCTTCTTACCTAAACAAAGTCATTATGTTTTTAAGTTTGAAAAGAGGAATGGAAAATAATGAAAAATGTCTTTTTTTACAGGTCATATCTGCGACAGCGACCACCTGAAAACTTGGTAAGAAAACTAATTCTGTCCATGGGCCAAATACGTACCATAACGCAAGTGCTTTTCTTTCTCTAGAAGGTAAGGTATGACTGGGGAAAATATGGCTGCCCGTTGAAAATTGACTTCAGAGAGAAGTTTCAACCTGTGATTCAACTGTAAGTATAATTCTCATTTTAAAATTTAAATTATTTAGAAGTTTTAAAGTATTACTCAGGCATTGAATGACATACTTTGGGGCACAAAATACATGTAACATTTAGCTTTGAGTGCTAGTGTTACAAAGTTAGGCAAAAGTAGTCTCTGTGTATTGAGGGAGATGACATAGTTCAGCAGCTGGGAGATGAGTGGGGCCTCAAGCGAGGCCTGGGGTTTGGGGGTTTTGTGTTTTCACTTATTTCCTTGTTTATATAATGCTTTATCCTGAGATATGTGTTATGTACATATATATGTTATGACATGTTATAAGTTATGTATATGTTACATACGTGAGATGGGTAGATAGATAGATAAGAGCTACATTCTTCAGTCCTGCTCAGTTTATTATTTCCGGTGCCAGGCACTGGGAATTCACAGATGAATAACAGAATTTCTATATTCAGAAGCTCAAGAGTCTGATGAACTAGGAAACAGGTTTAGAGTGAGAAGGTGGCTAGCACTGAGGCTCAGAATGACAGAATCCAGACAAGCCATGAAGAGAGATGGTTCCAGAAGCTGTTTCAGAAAACCTGCACTGAGTCACTGAGCCTTAAAGGATGATGAATATGTACTTAGCTGAGTCAGAGAGAAAAGGAGAGACATGCAGAAGGGATCCGTGGATATCACTGGGTAAGCCTTTCAAGCAAAAGTTTAAGGAAGGAGTTTAAGGGGAAAGGTCTGAGGTTCCAGCACAAGGGGAGTGGGGCGCGTCCGCAGCGAGCTGCGAAGCTGCTGCGCAGGGTCAGGCCTGGGGCGGGGGCGGGGGGCGTTCTGGCCACTCTTGCACTCTTCCTGTGGAGAGGGACCATGGAGTATCCGCTGAAGCCAGTTGTACAGCTGTGGTATGGATGACGCTTAGCAGGGAGACTAGTCAGTAAAATTGGGTCCAGGAGGAGAAAAATGACTGAAAAAGTAACAAGTGCAAAGAAACGGAGTCCTCTCTGAGAGGCGTAGATGACTGTAACAGGCATCACTGGATGGTGGTACATGGTATAAAGAGAAGGGAAAGACAGGCGAGCCGTGTGGGCCAGACGAGAACTACCAACCCCAGGCCATCTTCACACCTGTCAGCACCCACGGGGCGCTGTCCCTCCACTTCTGCCCCAACCCCCCTTCCTCAGTGAGAGCGCTGCTTCCCAATCCCATGCCTCTACTGGACCAGGCCTTTCTCTTAACCAATCAAACAACGGCAAAGCTCTCTCTTGATCTCCATCTGCAGCTCCTGGGCTGGCCGTGGCCAACGCGTCCCTGTTCTCCCCCGGCCTCGCTGGCTTCTGGATTGGCCGCACCGTCAGCACTGCGGCCAGTCTGGTCGGTGATCTCATTTTGTTAAGTCAGTGGTCAACTCTCGTTTACAAAAACTGATGCAATAGGCCACTCAATCCTGCTTGAAATATGTTCTTCTCGGCTCTTCTTTTACACTGCGTACCTAGTTTCCTCACTGTCGTTCCTCATCAACTGCCATGTAAGTTCTGCAGAGGAGGGGAGATCTGCGTCGCCCTCCTGGCTGTGTGCTCTGGTGCTCGGAAGCCCGCCTCGCCAGTGGAGCCAGGCTCAGGGTTACCGCTCTGCCTATCTGGAAGGATACGAAAACTGTCCATTGTGATACAAAATGGAGACCCAGCCATGGCTCCGGTGAGGGGGCCGGGTCGGAGGTCACACCCTGGGTCCGGCAGTCGGCAGTCCGTTGGCACCCGGGAGCTGTTGCCCCAGGAAGTGTGAAAGCGCAGCACCGAAGCTCAGGTGAACTGGCGGAGCTGGAGAGACGCGGGGAAGCAGCGGCAGCGGCACGAGGTCGAGAATGGTTGCGAGTGATCAGAAGGTCGCTGGGGTGTCTGGGAGGTCCGACTGTCACCCTCCTCCCTACCCAAGTCCCCGGTGACTGAAGGATGACAAAGGAATCTGGATAAGACAGCTCAGAGCCACGGGCTACTGACAAAAATGCACCGGCAGATGTGGCTTCCATGTGAAGAAACAACTCTGCCACACCACAGAGAGCACAGGGAAGGCGGAGGAGGAATGCCAGCCACGGGGTCGGCCATGCGACCTCCTCCTCCTGGAGGCCAAGTAAAACGTAGAACATACAGGTACTCAGAAGGACATGGAACCCTAAAAGCAAGCCATTCCCAAGATGAAGACACTGAAGCAGGGCCACACTCCAGAGACTGCGGTGTTCTGCTCGCCGATCTCCTCCACATGAAAGGGAACACCGGAAGCACTTAATAATATTCTAATGAGATTCCCCCAAGCGGGAGGTACCTCCCTTAATAATATTCAAATGAGAAGCATTTGATCCCTCCTAAGACCATACAGCGCTCAAGACCGAGTAGAGGAAAGCATCCAGAATAAATTCCAGGAAGAACGTAAGCAAAAATGTAAGAACAACTTAGAGAAGGCAGAATTTCAGAAACCAAGGCAGTGAGAATTTTCAAAGGCAAACTTTTCTTTCCTGGAAAAAGACAATGAAGATTTAAAAGAAAGACTCAGATTCATGGGCGTAGTGAACTGATCCTAGCGCGTACCCACCGCATTTGACCCTGCCTGCCACTTGTGATCTCAGAGCACAGGCAGGCAGACTGTAGCACAGCTGCGCGTGAGCTCAAGGAAAATGGAGGCAAATGCCATCTACGATTTCTCAACTCTTTGGAAAAGAGAGGAAGGAGAAGAATTTACCTATAAAGAAAAACGTAAGAGGCTGGGAATTTGACCTAGTGGTAGAGTGCTTGCCTAGCATGCATGAAGCCCTGGATTCCATTCCTCAGTGTGGCTCAAGTGGTAGAGTGCTAGCCTTGAGCAAAAGAAGCTCAGGGACAGTGCATATGCCCTAAGTTAAAGCCCAGGTACTGGCAAAAGAGAAAGGAAGGAAGGAAAGTAGGGAGGGAGGGAGGGAGGGAGGGAAAAACATAAGCAAAGCAAAGTGCTGGTAGTTCATACCTATCCTTGCTGCTCAGGAGGTTAAGATCTGAGGATGGAAGTTCAAAGCCAGTTCAGACAGGAAAATTCCATGAGACTCTTAAGTCTAATTAAGCAGAAAAAAAGCCAGAATAGAGCTCACTTTTTAAAGAGAAAAGATAGATAAGCCTATTTACAGTTGGAGGATAAAGGTTAAAAACAAGTCATTGTAACTATAGTGATATGGCAGACTGAGCTAATGAGTCATCTCCACCCATAATAGATGTACATGGTTATGGATAAATCAGAGCAAAGATGCATTGCTATTCAAGCAAAGCTTGCAAGAGGAAGGAACAGCAGTCAGGGGCAAGAAGTAAATCAAGAACTCAGACACTCAGTAACCAGCAAGGCCTGTCTTCATCCAGGATATTGGATTTCAGGATTGGAAGCTGGGCTTTACAGCCTCTGTGGGGTCCAAAGGCTCTTTTATTGACCTGGGATATATGAAGAGTTTTTTGTGAACTAGAAGGAAACTAGAAAACTCTGGAACTAGGCATGGTAGTGCATGTCTGTAATCCCAGCACCTAGGAAGCTGAAGCAGGAGAATCATGACTTTAGGCCAGTCTGGGCAGCATACTGAGGTTCTATCTTAAAAAGAGAAGGGAAGGGGAGGGGTGGTATAAAAGGGGAAGGAAGGGAGGGAGGAAAGAAGGAAGGAAGGAAAGAAAGAAGGAAGGAAGGGAGGGAGGACTCTGCAGTTTTGAAAAACAGTCTGGCTGTGGCTGATTAGGCTTGGAATGTGGCAGCAGTGGCCCACTGTGTAAGTCTCTGGATTCTAACAAAGTCGCTGCCTTCGCAGGGAATGACTCTGGAGCAAGGTCAGGCAGAATTGTACAGAATTGTACAACTAAAAGTCTAACAAGCTGGGTACTGGTGGCTCACACCTGTAATCCTGGCTACTCAGGAGGCTGAGATCTGGGGAATCCAAGTTTAAGGCCATCCTGGACAGAAAAGTGTGCTAGATCCCATGTCAAAAATAAGCAGCAGCCAGGTGCCAGTGGCTCACGCCTATAATCCTAGCTACACAGTAGCCAGTTGGTGACATTTCTGAATCTCTCAGGTTTCATTAGTATTCTCATCTATACTAAGAGATATTAGTGAAAATGAACACTTCTTGTCAAGGCATATATACTTATCACATATTCTCAATGAAATGAATAAAAACATTATCAAAGGTAATTATAACCAGCAGTCACAGGTCATGCCATGCATAGCTCTGGCCGCAAGGTGGCACTGTGGCTCTTTGCGCATGTGAAAGTCACAAGCTGACAGTTCAAATGGGTCAATAAAGATTTTTTTTTAGTTTTAGTTTTTGGTTGTTTTTCTGTTTTTGAAAAACGTAGCACTTTGCAACTAGTTCTTAATAATCCAGGAGCTTCATGACTTCTGGAAGATAGAGTAAACACTCCACTCTTTTAACAAAGCTGCTACAGTTAGAGCTTTGCAGATCCTTACTTAACTAGACAATGGCGTGTATACCTCGTTCATTTTCCTGTGATGAGAGGGGTAAGTGCTCAGGCTGGAATTTTAGGGCGCTCCTCAGCCGTCTCTCCCACCACCAGGCCAAGCACCAGAAAGCCAGATAGAGCACAATGTACAGGTGAGAGCCAGGGAATGAGGCACGGTCTGGGACTTAGATTTTATGATGCATCAAGTGAGATATTAACATCAGAGGGGAGAGCAGGCCTGAGACCCGGGCCCCGAGGGTTGCGGAGACAGCTTCCCTCGGAAATGAGCAGTAACCTGGAGAAGGAAGCCAGCCTTGCTTTGGCTCTTGTGGGCCCTCGAATGCAAAGCTGTGTGTTCTGCACAACTGCGCTTCAGCGTGAGTCTCCTGGCTGTATTCTTATGTGGCAGGAAAAGCAGTGGTGGCGGGAAGCAGCACGCCTCTGACCCCCGGGCTGGGGGGAGGGGTGTGGGGGGAAGGGGGAGTGCTCCCAGCACTCGGCCCAGCACCCTGCCCCCCCCTCCACCTCAGGGCACTGCCCAGGCCTACTAGTGCATAGACATCCTCATCCATTCTCTAAGCTGGGGTTGCTCACCCCCTCTCAGCTCAGCTCATGCCCATGCTGCTGACCCTCTGAGACCCAGCACACCTTCCAGAATTTTCCTCCAGGGAACTCTGCAGAAGCTTGGCTCTCACTGTGGTGGTGTGATTTCATGCTAGTTGAGAGCAGGCAGCTGATGAATGATGAGGAGCCTCGCCTAGCCCTTCCTCCTCCATCACACAGACGCCTCCTCCTCCATCACACAGGCGCCTCCTCCTCCATCACACAGACGGCTCGTCCATCACACAGACGCCTCCTCCATCACACAGACGCCTCCTCCATCACACAGACGAGACGCCTCCTCCTCCATCACACAGACGCCTCCTCCATCACACAGACGCCTCCTCCATCACACAGACGCCTCCTCCATCACACAGACGCCTCCTCCTCCATCACACAGACGCCTCCTCCATCACACAGATGCCTCCTCCATCACACAGGCGCCTCCTCCATCACACAGACGCCTCCTCCATCACACAGGCGCCTCTTCCATCACACAGACGCCTCCTCCATCACACAGGCGCCTCTTCCATCACACAGACGCCTCCTCCATCACACAGACGTCTCCTCCATCACACAGACGCCTCCTCCATCACACAGGCACCTCCTCCTCCATCACACAGACGCCTCCTCCATCACACAGACTCCTCCTCCATCACACAGACGCCTCCTCCATCACACAGGCACCTCCTCCTCCATCACACAGACGCCTCCTCCATCACACAGACGCCTCCTCCTCCATCACACAGGCACCTCCTCCATCACACAGACGCCTCCTCCATCACACAGACGCCTCATCCATCACACAGACGCCTCCTCCATCACACAGGCGCCTCCTCCTCCATCACACAGGCGCCTCCTCCTCCATCACATAGGCGCCTCCTCCTCCATCACACAGACGCCTCCTCCTCCATCACACAGACGCCTCCTCCATCACACAGACGCCTCCTCCTCCATCACACAGACGCCTCCTCCATCACACAAACGCCTCCTCCATCACACAGGCGTCTCCTCCTGCTGGTCCCTCTTCTCAGCTCACGCTGTTCCTGTCTCCTTCAAAGTTGGCACTCTGCCGCCTGAGTCACCCCTCACTTCTGGCTCTTGGTTGGTAAACTGGAAATAAGAGTCTCTTGGATTTGTCTGCCCAGCCTGGGCTCACGTCAAACCTCGATCCTCAGGTCTCGGCCTCCTGTGTTGTTGGACTACAGGCATGAGCCCCCGACACCTGGCTGTTATTTCAGTCTTGACAGAAGAAACCCTTCCAGCAGATGCTCATTTTACACAGAAGCAGTGAGGGCTGGAGACTTTAACTTCCCCAGGATTAAATCCCAGAGCCACAGCTGATAGAGACAGGATGGATGCAGAAGCCCATCTGACTTAGAAGCAGAACCACACACACACACACACACCGCTGGCTCAGACTGAACTGGTGTTTCTGTTCCTTGCCCTTTCAGATATGATGAAAATGGCTACGTGAAAGACATTGAGGTAAACTTCATAGTGTGGGAGATACACGGCCGGGAGGACTACAGCTTCAACACCACTATGACCCAGGTGGGAGCCACATTCCACTGCAGTTGCACACGGCCTGTCAGGAAACAAGGCAAACTGGGTTCCATGGATTTTTTTTTGTCTGTCACGGGACTTGAACTCAGGGCCTGGGCGCTGTCCCTGAGCCCTTTTGGCTCAGGGTTAGTACTCTACCACTTTGATCCACAGTGCCACTTTCAGTGTTTTGGTGCTTCATTGGAGAGAGGAGTCTCACAGACTTTGTTGTCTGGGCTGGCTTTGAACCAAGATCCTCAGTGCTCAGCCTCCTGAGTAAGCTAGGATCGTAGGCATGAGCCACCAGTGCCGACTTCCATAGAAGTTTTCTAAAGTCCATATTACTTCTGTTTTACATTCAATAGCTACTAAAATTCATTTGTCACAAAACAAGCCTTTGCCATGTAAAACAGACATAAAGGGGTCAGAGAAAAAAGTGCACTGTGTGTAGAGTGTGCGGCTGCGGCTCTGTGGTCTGGCCTCTCCGCACTGCAGTCAGTGTGCCATTGCTGGAGGGTGTCGCTCCTCAGTGACCCCCCACAACACAAAGGCGCAGGACACCCCCCCACCGTAGCGCCCTAGAAGTTACCCACATTAATTCCTGACTCCCCAGCCAGCTCAGACATAACCCCACAGCTTCCGAAGTGGCATTCTTCTGTGCCAGAGCTGCCATCCACGTCCAACCTGCCAGGTGTCCCCGGTCCCCTGGCCATCGCCAGGGAATGACACCACACGGAACCCCACCCAGGATGGGAGCCTCTGCTCCACCCCTCCCTCCCCACAGTCCCACCCCCAAACCACTGCGTCTTCCTGTCCACACCCCACAAGTCCCTCTCCGGCACTGACTCTTGCGGTCATCCCGGCTCACTTCGCGGCTCCAGGTGGAGGCCCTGCCTCCCGGCGCCAGCTCCCGGGCCTCGCCCTCGCTCTCGGGAGCTCCTCATGGCCCTCGGCTCCCGCTGCCCAGACCCAGGGGCTGCCGGGGAGAAGGCTGCGTCCCCAGACCCCTTCGCAGCTACGAGAAACTGGACATACCGAAAAGGTGAGCCCCTTCACCGGGATGCACCACTTTCACTTAATTGAGTTTCACTTCTGTGGAACATTCAGCCTCCACGCCATAATATAAGGCCAGTAAAGTAATCACATACCTATGCCACAGCTGTGTTTCTCAGCTGCTGCTGCTGCTGCTCCTGCTGCTCTTGCTGCTCCTCCTCCTCCTCTTCCTCCTCTTCCTCCTCCCACTCCTGCTCCTCCTCCTCTTCCTCCTCCCCCCCCTTTCCAGGACTGGGATGTGAACTCAGGGTCTGGACCTTTCACTCACAGGATGGTGTTCTTCCACCTGAGCCGTATCTCCAGCTCCACAGGCTGCTTCCCAGTGGCCTTCGGTCTGTCCTGCCTGTACTGATAGTGACTGGTAATGTTGTATGGCCCTAAGGATGTTCATAGATATCCAAATGGCCTTGGCAGAAAAAAGAACTGGAAAAGGAAGATGCACGTGGTAGGAGACTTTACCTTTACTCTCTCAGTAACTATCGATCACCACAGACAGGAAGTAAGGTAGAGAAGGGTTGGACAGCATGGTGATAAACCTGGTCTCCCGGTCCATATAAAATAGCACCTAGATGGGTGGTTCACGCCTGTAATCCTGGCTACTCTGGAGGATGAGATATGGGGTTCAAGGCCAGCCTGAGCAGGAAAGTCTGTGAGACTCTTATCTCCCATAAACTACTCAGAAAAGGCCAGAAGTGGCACTGCAGCTCAAGTGGTAGAGTGCTAGCCTTGAGCACAAAGAGGCTCAGGGACAGCGCCCAGGCCCTGAGTTTAAACCCCAGGACTGGAGGGGAAAAAATAACAGGAAAGAAAGAAGTAAAGTTAAAGATAGACATAAATAGATGAAACCTTACGATACAGCAGGTCTACAAATCACAAATTGTCTCTTGGAACAGTTGAAAAATCATTTGATGAGGAGAGAGAGAGAAAAAAAACAATGTGGCCTAAGGAGCTAATCTCAGGAGCCACCGGGCTCAACAGTGAAGAGCCCATAAATGTGAAGAATAGAAGGATGCCTGCCACACACTCAACAAGTGTGTCAGCACCTTACACACTGGGCAACTGTGTCAGCACCTTACACACTGGGCGAATGGAAAGAAAAACACAACTCACTGAGGTGTCAGGATACAAGGAAAAACATGGAAACTCCAAGCCTACCAAACACTAAAGAAAAACCAAATCCATCCTCCCTCTCTCCCTCTCTCCCTCTCTCCCTCTCTCCCTCCCTCCCTCACTTCCTTCCTTCCTTCCTTCCTTCCTTCCTTCCTTCCTTCCTTCCTTCCTTCCTTCCTTTCTCCCTTTCTTCCTTCCTTTGCCCTACTATTTGGGCCATACCCCAGCTCTTTCTTTCTCTTTCTTTTAGTTATTTTAGAGGCTGAGTTTCTCACCCAGGCCATCCTTCACTGTAATTCTCCTATCGAGGTCTCCTATATAGCAGGGGCTACAGGTGTACATCACCATACCTGAGCAGAAATTTTTTTCTTTAGGTTTCTAAAACATTTCCAGAGAGTGGAATGACTTTCCAATGCATTCTGTGAATCCAGGGTGATATACTAATAATCTTAAAGGAGAAGAGAATTCCAGACCATTCTCACTCATAAATATAGATATTAACATGTAAACAAACCGGTACAGTGGCTCATACCTGTAATCCTAGCGACTCAGGAGGCTGAGATCTGAGGATCATGTTCAAAGCCAGCCCAGGCAAGAAAGTCCATGAGGCTCTGATTTCCAATTAACCTCCAGAAAACTGGAAGGGTGCTGTGGCTCAAAATGGTAGAGTACTAGCCTTGAGCAATAAAGCTCAGGGACAGTACCAGGCCCTAAGTTTAAGCCCCATGACCAACACAAAACAAAAACAAAAAACATTAGCAAACCAAATCGGGTAATGTCTTCAAGAATAATATATGCAATCCTAGTTTTATTTGTCTTCTGAAGAGTTGGTGTATCATTTGAAAAATCAAATATTCAATACATTAGCAGAATACAGAGAGGGGGAAGGCTTAAGAGTATTATAGCTGATGAAGAATTATTAATAATTTATCATCTGGAAATGGTGACATTGATCAAGGTGCAATGTACTCATAACCTGACTAATGGAATTGAAGCCTCTTTGTATTTAATAATAAAATCAAAATAAAAGAATTTATCATCTATACATAGCATTAACTTTTAAATCCTAGAAAATTATAAATAGTAGCAATACTAAATAAAACCTAATAAAACACAGATACAAGAAACTATAGCAAACCTTACAGTTATTAGTGAAAAAGTGGTTTTTTTTCCTTTTGGTATCTGTATTGAGGCTTGAACAAAGCTTTGGCCTCTTGCTTAGCTTTTGTGCTCAAGGCTGCCACTCTACTCCTTGAGGCACACCTTCACTTCCGGCTTTTTGCTGGAGATAAGAGTTTTTAGGATTTGTCTGTCCAGGCTGTCTTCCAACTACAGCCCTCAGATCTCAGATGTGAGCAGCTAGGATTACAGAATTGAGCTGCCAGCACCCAATAATGGTTAAAATTTTTTATTTTTTATTTATTTTTATTTTTTTATTTTTTTGGGTCTGGTCGTGGGGCCTGAACTCTGGGCCTGGGCGCTGTCCCTCAGCTCTTCAGCTCAAGGCCAGTGCTCTACCACTTGGGCCACAGCGTCACTTCCAGCTTTTTTCTTTTTGCTTATGTGGTGCTGAGGAATCGAACCCAGGGCCTTGAGCATGCAAGGCAAGCGCTCTACCACTGAGCCACCTTCCCAGCCATCGTTAAAAATTTTTAAACCTTTCCTCTGAAATGAAGAAAACAGGGGTGGCTGTCTATCACCGATCCTACACAGAATTGTTCCTGGAGATCTTTATAGTGTGGCAAAGAAGAGCAATCAAAATGAATAAAGGCATAGAAACTGGGAAGGGTGAATTAAAACCATCATATCCATAGTTGGGCCCTGTGGCTTACTCCTGTATTCCTAGCTACAGATCAGAGAAGCCCAGTTCAAAGCCAGCCTAGGCTAGAGGGTCTCATGGACTCCACCAGAAAAACAGAAGTGGAGCTGTGGCTCCACAATGTGGTAGAGCACTTTGCCTTGAGCAAAAAGAGCTCAGTGACAGTGCCCAAGCCCTGAGTTCAAGCCCCAGGACTGACAGAAAAAAATACCCTGTCATATCCATCCACGGGTGACAAGTGTTCACATGACATCACTAGAGTGTACGTTTGGGACATTCTCCCAACATCCCAAACGCGGGAGTTGTGAAAACATACCAACTTTCAGGGCATTGTTGATGTGAGTGTTACTGCGTGTGTGCCCTGTGTGGTGGTTTCATTCTCGTTTTGAGCTACAAAGCTGACGCGCCTGAGGCTGGCCGATCTGGAAGTCAGGTGGTGAGCTCTTCTCTTTTTGGTCAGCCTCACCTCTTCCTTCTGAACTTGGTGGTGTTTTGGCAGAGCGGGTGTTTAAATGAAGCGCAGACGTGGGAGTCCATGGTGGCACAGAACCAGAGCCTGCCGCTGGACGAGGTGTGGGGCCCTGAGGTAAGAAGGCCGTGTGGGACACCCCAAGGTAAGAGGCCGTGCGGGCCACGGCCCCGCTGCCCCACTGCCCCCAATGCCCCGCGGCCCCGCTGCCCCCGCGGCCCCCGCTCCCCCGCTGCCCCGCTGCCCCGCTGCCCCCGCTGCCCTGCTGCCCCCGCTGCCCAGGCCTCATGGAAACACGCAGGGTTCTCGTTTGCAAAGTCGGAGGTGACATCTTTTTTTCCTGTTGAATTCTATTATCTCAAAGGGTTTTGTCTTTGGGGTTTTTCCAGGCGCGTTGCTACCAGTGTGTCACCGCTGAGATCTGCGGTTGTGGACTGTGGATGTCCCGTAACTGTGTGGAACTATCTGGTCTTTCTGTGTATGTGGCGCTGAGGAATCGAACCCAGGGCCTGGTGCCTGCGCGGCCAGGCCTCTACCACCGCGCCCGCCCGGCCCAGCCTCCGCCCTGTTGGGGCCTCGGGCCTGGCGGTTACTGCTAGGGAGGCCCTCCGCCCCTTAAGCCACGCCCGGCCCCATTGTTGGATTCTCAAACTTTCTGCCTCAGCCGACAGCGCTCTGAGCGGGGCCCGGGGCTGCGGGGCTGCGGAGCTCAGAGCGGGGCCCGGGGCTGCGGGCGCG